GTGAGACCACTTTTAGTTTGAATCCCCCAAATATGTTGTTAATATAACATGAGAAAGAGGAACAGGAAAAAAACATAGTGTATATAAAAGACAGATGTCGTGTCTGTATGACTGCTCTGACTGCAAAAACAAAGTGCCCGTCAAGAGCTTAGATCTGTGACCAGAGCACCCACTCACAGGAAGCCACAGTCACACAGGGCTAGAGACTGGGCGCTGATCCCTCTGGCGATTTGTTGCTAGCGTATTCCCAGACACCAACCAGCTAGCCAGTGAAAATTTGATTACCGTTATTCAGCAGTTGCTGATATTACAAAGGTTTTGGTTTACTGGAGGCCTCTCAATTTTTCATATTTCAATTTGATGTGCATTTGTGACGAAATGACTCAAAGAACTTTTCCCCACCTCCAGATCCGGATCGACTCAATCGCTTTTTTGATAAACCAACATAACCACTCGTATAACCACTTTTGGTGTGAGCGTCTTTTTGCACAGACCTCGTTGTCCCGGTCCTTCTCTAGGAAGTGTCGGGCCACGTGGCTGGGTAGGATGTTCCTCAGCATGTTCTCGTTGTGTTCTCGCAGCTCCTTCATCTCGTTGATCTCCTCCTTGGCCTGGACGCGCCACAGGAAGTCCAGGCGTGCTGTGTACTCCAACTGAAGACAGAAAAATGAAGGCAGAGCACCTCAGATCAGTAGCTGTCACAAATCAGAAACCTTAGTTCGGAGTGCCACTGTGTGCTCTAGCACCAGTGGATGCTTGCACTCGTATAATTCATTCAGGCTACTAAACAAATCATTTGGATGAGTTATTAATGTGTTTTTGAATCATTCATGCCATTGTGGCTGTTTGCAGATTAAACACTTCATCTGTTTCATGTGCAGAGAAGATCTTCTTTGGCCCGACATAATTTCACTGTACTTTGTGCACATACCAGCTCAAACATCCAGTGTATGAGATCAGATATCAGTAAACCATTTTGATGTATTTTAAAATACAGAGACTTGAACACAGCTTCACCAAACTGCAGAGCCCAGTTCTCCAAATCTACACACAGGCTTATTTTTTTTTAAACAAACAAGGCACTCTTCAGCAGAAAAACAGCAGCGCTGCTTCTTCACATGATTTAAACAACCTACGCTGATGTTTGCCTGACAAGTGACCCCTTACGGCCATGCCTAATTATTGCCCTCGTTCTGAAGTCACGGCTGAAATAGCGTGATACTGTTGCATGCTGTTAAGGAGATTTAAAGCTCAGCTTCGGGGGGTTGGCTCGACATATAAATTGTCTGATTTTGACAATGAAGACCACGGCTTGAAGCTCGTCTTTTTCAGTCTCTCTCCAACCTCAAGTTATTTAAACTTCACCGAATGAGAACTAAATCGTCAAAAGAAGTCAATGAAAATATACACCGTCCGACACCACTGTAGGGCTGCCACGATTAGTCGACTATCAAAAT